CGAGAACCGAGAACCGAACCAAACCATTCGGTTCTCGATTCGGATACCCGTTCGGGTATTTTATTTTAAAAAACCCGCTCGGTTCGGTTCGGTTCGGTTCGGACATTTTGCCCAGCCCTACATTCAATAAGTGTAATTCATATTTCAGTTGTCATATGGTGAATTATTGTTTCTATGTTTTCAAATCAAGACTGTAGTAGTTTCCCTTCCGTGGTCTTGGGACAGATAGGGAAAGGGAATCACTTCGAAGGTGCACTTTATAAACTACTGTCTTTCTTATTTTTGTATGATGGTAACATCTAATTTCAGTTATATGGTCATGTTACTTCTGACACTGCCTACAAGCACATCTTTTCCACGCTTCTTGGCATTGTCAAGCTTTCTTCAGATATTGCGCGTGATTTTAATGCAGTAGTCCTGGTCAACATGCAATGCACATTATGTTTTAGAGTTGTTTTAAAATCTCGTAAAAATATTATTTTTTCCTTGTTAGTCCTGTCCCATAGCCTCAGAAACCACACGTCTTTTAGATTCAATGATTGGATTCCCCCTCTTCCCACGTAGTGTATTATCCTCGTCACCATTCTCGTACTTTTTGAGTTTCTATAAATATTGAAAGAAATTTTGTGTTGCATCTATCTTGACATCATGCTTCGAAGCATGTAAAAATCGTTGCTGCTCTTTTGCCACCCTCTCCTATAAGAAGTGAATCCTCCACAAAAGATACACCTTTTGAAAATGCTTATGCTTGTCGCTCATCCTTCATTTTGTAGAAAATGAAGAACGTGAAAATTTATAGTGATTATAATAACCTTCTACATAAACCTCAAAAAATCACATTCACGTACATTCATCTTCCTTGGACACGTGACTCTTTAAATACATCAATTTATCTAGTAAATTCAATGTGTGATAAATGAATAAATCTAGAAAACTACAATGTATCTTATCTATGGAATTTAATATTTAAATAAATTGATTCAAGGAAGGTATGAATATACGTGTCAAATTATAGAATACTACTGTCAATTAATAAAATTAAAACTAAAAAGAATACTATTGAAATAATCTAAACATAGTTTGGATAAAATCGTCCATAAATGATTTTAATCTCATATGACTTGTAATATATTATAGATATATTAGAGATGTAATAAATTAGTGCATATTTACCTGATTTATTTCTAATATTATTGTGCTCTTGTAAAAACTAAATATTTTCATTTTTTGATCACAGGTAAAACAGGTTGACTGTTATACAGTTACCCTTCACGAGCTAGAGTCTGTTTCCACTAGATTTAAGTTTAAATCAATGATGCGAGGTTAGATCCCTTTTCTCCCCTTCTCATCTTCGTGGGAAGGATATTTTGGGTAGACCGTGTATTTATGTATCTCTGAACATGTATGTTCATGGCACCAATACTTACCCACTCTCCAAAAAGCATTTTTCTCACTCCTGATCATTTCATTACCATGTAAATATCATTTCCTTCACGAGCATGTATCTTACTTTTATTGAGTTTTAATGTTATCATTGAATTTGCATACTAATGCACGATCAAATATTTTTACTCTCCTACAAGTTTTGAAATATTAGGAATGTAATTTTCTAACGGTAGTTGTATATTTGCTATTGGATTCCAGCACCATTTCATGGGTTTGCTTTCTGGTTTGATGTGGAGTTTGGTATACCTGCAATATTCCCTTCCAATAACAATACAAGAGCTGCATTCGTTGAGACTCCTAATAATCATGATATAGATGGTAATCAAAGAAAGAAGCGGGCCAATCCCAATGAAGCCCTTGTGTTGTCAACAGCACCTGAGGATCCTCCAACGCATTGGCAACAGGTGTCTTGCACATACATACATTTAATTTAAATGTCTTCTCTTGTGTTTGGGCTTGATTAGTTGTGTGCGGCACATGCTTTGACTTTTTCTTTTGAATAACATTGGACCAGTATAGCGATTGCCCAGATGTCTCACTACACAACAGTTCCCGTCAAACACATAAACCAGCTGTAGCTCAAAGTGATTATGCAGTTGGCTCTATCATTGTGTCAGACCTGCTTGCTCTGACGGATCCTGAAGCAGGCAGCCTAATTCTATTCTAGGTGTAAAAGAGTTTTGGAAACTTTTAAGGTTGTAAAGAAACTACCAAATGTTTAAGCAAGTTGTATCTTAGGATAAACTTGGACATGTCACTTAAGATTACAATGTCCACACTAGCATGTACAACTAGTTAAGCCAGATTCTGGATAAACATGGGTCAACTACATGATTTTTCTCTATTCTATTCAATCCTTACATTATTTCAATGTCAACATCCAGACTAGCATATTACAGTTTGAAATAACAGGACATACTAATATATAAAATCTAGGGATTAGTTTATAACTCAGTGAATGATAGATTACACAACTACAGGATAAAAGCAGTCAAGAAGAATAGACTATTTTCGCACAGTTGGACTTGAGATACCTTGAGCATACAAGATGCACAGCAATAAGTATTTGAATCAATTAGTCTCTGTGTGAAAATGGGGTAGGGGATAGAGGAATGAATAGAAGAGACTAGCAGAAGAGAAGAAATAGGGAGGTTGTCATTTTAGAAAACTCGCACTGATTTTCTATGGTAAAGTGCCGAGCATATATTAGCATGCTATTGTAATATATGTATGAATATTCTTTTATTTTTCAGGCCTTGGGTTTGCTCAATTGGTCAGGCCTTGGGTTTACTCCCCAATGGTCACTAGTTTGAGTCTCCTCAGGGCCACTNTCGAGTCCCTTCAGTGCCTCTGCTGTGAATACCCGACCATAAACTTCAGGGCCCTGTGGAATGAATCGAGGTGCGCGTAAGTTTGCCCGGATATCCACGGTTATAAAAAAAAAAAATTCTTTTATTTTTCATTTATTTGCAAATTGAATGTGCAAGCAAGAGATAAGATTTGTTTCTGGGAGGCCCAAATTCTTTTGCATTTATCTTCCTCCAGATTTTACCAGCTTTCAAGGTTCAAAATGTCAGCATTAAATGTGTTGGTTCATATATTTGCAACTTTCACTTACGTCAGGCTTTGCAAAGTAGTGAAATTTCACATTTGTCTTTGTCATCTATCCTTGAAAATTATATTGAAGCCTTTTGACATGACAAATAAATGTGGACATTGGATTCCTGGGGTGTCTTTTCTTGTAAATCATATTTCCACGCTTTAATTGATTTGCCTAATTCCCTATTTTAATCCTTTAAATTTCCTTTGAAAATATATCTGTACACAATTGAGGTTTTTCCTTGGATGGTTTATCAGAGAAATTAATTCTTGTGATATGGTCCAAGGGATATCCCTCACTATTTTCTTTCTCCATCATGGTTTTTAATGTTTAGAAAGACTCAGAATGCAATGAACTCTGTTTTTACTTGGTGATGCTGGAAGATTGTCGTAGTGCAGGTTTCTTCAGGAATATGGATTTAATTAAGTTTTCTTAAGTAGGTGTAATTAATTACTTGTCAAGAAGCCAATTTGTTCGGCTCATGTAAGATGGAGACACCTATGAGGAAATCAATGGTTTCAGCTATCATTTGGATGAATATTGTTTGTCCTCTACTTTTTTAATTCTTATTGCATAACCCATAAGTTACTTTCATTTAATATGATTAATACCCATGTGATCAGCATTTCTGTAGAAACTTTATGATTCAAGAAGAAGTTGAATAGAAATGTTTGCTGGTTATCTTTACTGCTGAAGAGTTGACGGTTGTCTGTATCTCGTCCTTCTTGATTTCCTCACATTTTCAGATGTCTCTTGTTCTCAAGCAATATAATTACATAATATTTGTTCATTCCTTTTTCTTCCCATGGATTTTGCAGACGTTGATCTACTTCTATGATCCAATAGAGGTGGAGCAAGATCAAGTTATTGAAGGTTCTGTAACATTGTCACAAAGCAAAGAAAATCCTCGGTTCATGAATATTCATCTAGAATATGCGTAAGTGAAAGATTTGTTTCATTTTGCAAAGATTGCAATACACTTCCATATATGCTCATAGTGATCCTCAACTCCAAGCAGATCCAATGGTCGTCATTTTGTCAAAGAGTCTGTTATGCGATAAGTGAGACAATGACTTTTACCTTTTTGTTCACGTGCAATGTGAAGCTATTGGGTCAGAATCGGATCAATACGGTAGCTGTGGTGCAATTGGTTACGCAGATTCTGCATCTTCATTTATCTGCTCGTGTAAAAGCTAAGCTTCTGAATCCCTTAGCTCAAAAAGACGTTATAATTTTATTGTGTTAGATGCAACCATAGGCTTAACGTTTGAAAATCCTGAAGACGTTATTCTTGTAATTGTATACCTTAGTATTCATTTTTCTTTCTTTCTAGGTTCTTTGTAAGCCTATGTGAGTTGTTTTTGTAGAATAGAATTAGAAATATTATTGGTGAATTTTTGGAAACAGAGTATGGGTGGTGTCATTTTTCTTGATATTGAGGTCTCTCTCCATGTTTCAAGAATTTGTTGAATTGCTCAACAATGAGAGAAATACTCGATGAAATTGAACTTTGCCTTGGATTTCCTCCAATTTTGCTTGCCTAAGTTGAATTCAAATAGACCCTTAGATAATGGATTCTACTTAAAGACCGTCTTCAATGCAATATATGATGGCGTAAGTTGAAAGACTTTTAGTCTAGGTGGTAACAATATCGAGCCCCCCTTCCATTATTTGATGTTATAATTTTTGGAATAGTGTTTTTTTTGGGAGGATGTGTGGTTAAAAAAGAAGGAAATTTTTTTTGTTTATGTGTAATAGTATTTTATTGAAGAATGTATGATTAAAAATAAAAGAGAAAAATGTATTGTAAATTAATAAGGGTCAAACTGGGGCCTGAATCTACATAGGGAAGCATAAATCTGCGTAGATTATAGAAATTTTTTTGACTCTACATGTTTAACATAGCCTCTGAATATAGGTGGTTTTAGACAATCTCTCTCTCTCTCTCTCTCTAATTTGTCACATCAACTTGACGAAGTCTCTATGAACTTGCATTAAGGGTTGGGCCTTAGGTTTATCGTACCTGAATTGAATTTAGAAGTTGGGCCTTCAAATCATACCACACATTGGAATTTTTTTTTCTTGATAAGGATTAAAAGTAGGAAGTAAATGGAAATCATTTGTTACCCATCTACATAAATACGAAAATAATGAAAATAAACGGAATCTTTGGTAAGGTATTTAGTATGGTATTTTGTCACTCAAAAAAATTAGCTTGCGTAGTGAAGAAATCAACATTTACAGAATTATATTAAGCCATGTTTGGTTCTCATTGTTTTAACACTCTTTTTGCTATATGATCATTTTTAACCACATAAATCTAAATTTTTTAACCACATTCTCCTAAAAATGCTATTCAAATTTTTTTATTTTTTTATTTTTGAAATAATGGGCATCAATCGGGGCTAAAATGGCAAAATATGTATATGGAACTAAATGTTTAAAAGCCCATTTTAAAATGTCAAGAAGAAATTTGATAGATGCGCTAAATGTTAGGAGCTATTATGTTCCAAGGAGAACTCATCTACACGAGGATATCATGCAATTTCAACTCATAATTATTAATTACCCATCAAATAAACAAAGAGCCTAGTATCTCTTTTTTTTTTATAACAGAACAAATTTCATTCAATTTGGAAAATTACATTAATGCATCATGCTTAATAATGTGTGAAACAAAATCCGGAGGATCACTCCACCACACTACCAAGTCATTGAGGTGCCATGAATTCCTAGCTAGACATGTCTTATATTCGGGAATCTGTTCATTAGTAGCCGAATCTCATGTATCAAGTTTCCCCATAGGGATAGATTTTCATCATGTGCTTTTGTCAGTTCTTGGAACACCAACAAAGAATTGCTCTCTACTTGTACATTCGGGATGGACAAATGTAAGCAAATCTGTAAGTCCCTTAATATAGCTAAAAACTCGACCTCCATTGGATCCATACCGTCCTTCTCTTATTTACTAGCTGAGAAAATCACTTGTCCGTAGCATCCCAGAGGACCATCCCAATCCCATATTTGCATTGATCTTCAAATAAGGCCCCATCAACATTAAGCTTTAGGACCCCTTTTGGAGGTGCACTCCACCCTTTTATGTGATGGATCCCTTGCTGACTCTGCTTATGTGCACATTAAATTCACCAGCTATTATAAAAGCATGATCAATAGCCATATGTGGGGTTAACATTTTCTGCTAAAAAATAAACTGGTTCCGACTGTACCACAATCTTCCCAACATAAAAATAGTTCATCTAGCTCACCAGAAATGTTCCTGTTTATTACTAAATTTATAATATGTACTATATCCCGTTAATCAGGAGTGTTTCGTAAAAACTCAGCTTAGCTGACAGCACGGGTTCAATCCGAGAGCAAGTATAACAACGCATGGTTTATATCTTCTCTCTTTTACAGAATTTGCATCTTGCATCTTCCACCACTTTCTTAGTAGATTTCGAAGTCTTGGAAGCCCATTGTGGCAGACTCTCAATGCAAACACACGTATCTTATGGGGGATTTGCATTTTCCAAATTTTATTCCATGTTGATCATCGGCATATGACACCTTAACTAGCTAGTTAGCACCATTAGTCTTCAAAAACAATCTGTAGCCACTTCGGATTGTATAAAGACCTTTTTTCTCTGGTTTCTAAATCATTACAGCCGGTCTGTTAAGTCCTCCTACTAATTGTATTTGGAACACCTCATAGGCATAACTAGGATGTAGCAATCTAGACACCTTTGTAATATCCCATCGTCGAGTATCCTAGTCATTTGTCGTGATACTGTCCAACCTCTCCGATTTGAATTAATACCATTTGGGCAGCTTATTAAGCAATGGTTCGGCATCTAATAATCACTCCATATGTTTATCTCCTTTCCATCACCAACTCTCCATATACATCCTTCAAACAATAGCTTCCTTGCCTCCCAAATACCTCTCCATACATAGGATGGATTGGCTCCCAATTTTGCATCCTTAAAATGTCCATGAGGGAAGTATTTAGCTTTGAATATATTCTGTAGCAATGATCCGCCCTCTTGTAGAATTCTTGAGCCTTGTTTTGCTAAGAGAGCCGTATTAAACGCATGAAGATCTTTAAACCCCATTCCTCATCTTCCTTTAGTGTTACACAGCATCTTCCACCTTACCCACCGAATTTTGTTTTCTTCTTTCCGTTGTCCCCACCAAAATTTTGCAATCATACTTTCCAACTCTTTACATAAAGACGTTGAAAGTTTGAAGCAATTCATCGTGTAAGTGGGAATAGATAGTGCAACAGCTTTAATTAGAACTTCTCTTCCACCCTGTGACAAAAGCTTTTCTTTCCATCCCTTTAACTTCTGCCATACTTTTGTCTTTAGACTTGAAAAAGCTTTCCTCCTGCTATCGGGAAGTTTTCAAATGAATCCCCTCTCCAGAATAATAAAATATATTGTTTGACACTCGTTCTCATTCTTATTTTTTTCTCTTTCTTCATTACAACCATACATTCTCCAAATAAAATAATATTACACACAAATCTAAAACTTTTCATTACTTTTCAACCACACGTTCTTCCATCAATCACTATTCAAGAATTCATTTTTTTCCCAAAAAGGGTGAACAACCATACATTCTCCAAATAAAAAAATATTACACACAAATCTAAAACTTTTCATTACTTTTCAACCACACGTTCTTCCATCAATCACTATTCAAGAATTCATTTTTTTTCCCAAAAAGGGTGTCAAACACAAGCATAGTTGTTCGACCCATTAAATTTAATAATGATTTTGAAATTAGAGATTAATGTAGAGACCGGTGAGAGAGAAAATTTATTAGGCATATAACTAATTTGAAACAAATTAAAATTTAATGATAAAAAACTAAGAGGCTGTCTAGGCGTGATTATCATTCACTGAAAATTGATTTTTTCTGCCTTTTTTTCTGACACAACACTCAGGCCATGAAGAATTAATGTCCCTCCCAGACAGCCCCCAAGTACCAAAGAATTCTTCAGGCACAACACCACCTAGATGATGCTCTTTCATAAAGCATTTCCCACAAATAAATATGTAAAAGAAGAAGAAGAAAAAACCTTAGTGGCAAGTGGATACAACCATGCACCTATAGACTGCTCAAAATATGTCCATAATTATTAGAATTTAAGTGTAGGATGAATTACAATGAGAAGAAGAAGAAGAAGAAAAAATTCTAACTCGAATGATATCATCTAAGCAATAGACACTGACTTGAGAAGTTCATCGACGTACTCTTTAAGCTTAATTTTTGTTATTGCGCCTTCCCTCCTGCTATCGGGAACTTCCTTTCCATCTTTGAAGAGAATAAGTGTTGGCAATCCATATACCTTGTATTCTTCAATCAGTCGTGGATTTGAATCGTGATCAATTTTCACCACTGTCAATTTGTCTTCATAGTCCTAAGAATTACATAAAAATTATCTTTGTTGATTTATGCTAATAAGCAGAAACTGATAATAATAATAAGTACAAAGGGACAAGCGAAAGTAATAAAAATAAATAGTAGAACAGATTATGGAACCTGAGCAACAGATTGGATGGCAGGAGCGATCAAGCGACAGGGACCGCACCATGTTGCGACGAACTCAACGAGGACTGGACGGTCTGACTTCAAAACGACATCGGCAAACTCACTCTCGTAAGTCTCTCTAATTATGCTACCGGCGCATTTTATTGCTTTATTTGACAATGACTTTCTAGATGCGAACAGTGAATTTGAATGTAATCGAAGTTTGTTTTTATTAACGAAAGCCGATGAAGATGACGATGATAAAGGAAGATCTGAACGTGAGTAACAATTCACTGTACGAACCGAATAGAGTTGGGAACAGTAGGGAATCTTGGAACTGGAGGCAAATGCTATTGGGATCGTCTCCATTGGTGAAAAATGAGAATTGCAGAGTTGAGGGGGAGAGAGGAGCAACTTTGTGGCCAATGAGGGGTGTCCACGTGGCACGTTGCATACCCGTCCATTCTCTATCAAATTGACCACTGCCTCATCCAAATTGTAGGACTATAAACGGTTGACATATTGGACAAAAATACTCAAATGGTCACTGCTCATAGACAGGTTTCAATTTGGTAACTCAACTTTAATTTGTTCTAAGTTAGTCATATGACTTTAAATTTTGTTTCAGGTATCACCAAACTTTATTTTTTTCAAAGAAGTCATTGAACTTTAAGTTTTATCTCACATTTGTAACTACATTAGTCTCCATTTTAAAAATTAATGTTAAATTAATGTCAAATGAACATATGTTTAGCCATACTGGAGAGAGGGTTTGTGTGACATTGTGATAGATACTAATTCAAATAAATTATTTCGTTGTTGTAAATTGTAAAGAGATTAACGTACTAACCAATTATTGTGATTATTTCTTCTTTCATATTGTCTAATATTTTCATTGTGTTAATACATTCTCTAGATTGTTTGTGATGCTACCAAAATACGTACCAAGAGTGATTTGAGGTTAGCAATCTAATCGAGCTGTAGATCCTGATGGAGGTTGATCACAAATGGTGCTCCCAAACACATGAAAACAAAGGCTAGGAGGTATGATCTCGTAGCCCCTTTGATGCTTAAGCTAGCAAAGACAGAGAGACTAGGCCGGTCCGTGGGGACAAAGGGGCAGTCTCCAATTAGGACTCTTACGTTCAAGCCAATATCCTAATTCTAGATTACTAAGCTTCTTCAGGTAATTGTAAATCAAAGTCGTTATTATCGACTTCATCATCCATGTCTTGAGATTAAGCTCATCAGCTCGTTCGCCTAATGTTGGAGGAGTAAATCAAATCCTATATGATGGATTAATTGAGTTTGTCGCGACGGGTGTCTTCGGGCAGTGTTCTATGGGTTCTTGAATGTCTTCATCATCCACCACAATAGGTAACTAGTAAGTCAACACATTGCCCCCAGGGCAAATCTCTCAGTGGCAAAGGGGAGGACAGTTAGGGCTCAGCGAGGTAGTGTGCAGAGTTCGATTCCCCGCAAGGTGGAATTGACTTTGTTGTAAGCGGGAGTTACCATAGGGTTAATAGCACAGGCCTATCCATAAGCTCTCCACCCTGACTCTTGGGAGGCACATCCTGCGATTTACCTCCTCCACAATGAACCAAGGCAGGGTCGGTGGGGGCCCTCAAGGTTGGGGTTCAACCTTTAGTAAGTCAACACATTCATATGTTCCTTCTCCAACTTGATCTCTACAGGATCAATATCATTTAACTTCCAACTACAATTTAGAGATTGGCAACTTGTATTGAAAAGGACAAGTGGCACTTAATAAATTTCTTGCATAAGGTTTTTCGAAAATTACCGTCTCCAACATGACGGATGTAGAATACATATTTGCCTTCTAGCTCATTATGTGATGCCACTGCTAATGAATTCTCGTACAAATCGTTCTGTTAAAACTTTAAATTGACTCATACAACAATTTATAAAACGCAATCAGTAATCTTTTCCATCGATAATGCAGGCTCTCCTTTTTATAACTTACTTGGTAGATGATGTTGTTGTCTTGTACTACTCCTTTCCCCATTGAAACATTTACTTATCATCAAAATATCATTTACATTGTGCGCAAAATATGGCGTGATCATGCATAATGTACCAAGCTTCACGTCTGGTGAATCCTTCAAGTTCAAGAGAACATCATTTACATCGGCATTTGTTATTATTCAATGATGGCTTAAATAGTTTTCTTTGATGTCTTAATTCATACTTTTTATAGTCGTCATCGATGCATCGAAGGTTGGTTAGTAAACAGAATTCAGCAATAACAAATTTTATATATTTTTACCTAATCTTGGACCACATTTCGTCTTCATTGGGTTGCTTCACTTCTCTCATCTAGATATGGTGGATCAATTATGGTTGAAGCGAGATTTCGTTACCATGAATGTAGCACCAAAAGCATGTTTCTTTTAACGTTGACCCTTGTTCATCTTAAGTTGATCCTCACCTAATTTTATTTGGGGTACTTACAAAAATACCCTTAAAGTTAGGGGTGTTTTGAAAAATCATATGAAAGGTTTAAAGGAAGTAAAAAATATTGTGTAAAATAAAAAAGTGACACAATGTCACTTTTTTTATAAAAATTGTCACTATTATGTAAAAAAGTGCCACAAAACTCAAAAAGTTGTGAAATGATGTATAATGTAATGGTTTAAGGGTTGAGCATCTAAGTTTACTATAGGGGTACTTACAAAAATACCCTTAAAATTATGGATGTTTTGAAAAATCATATGAAAGGTTTTTAGGAAGTAAAAAATACTGTGTAAAATAAAAAAGTGACACAATGTCACTTTTTTTATAAAAATTGTCCATTTTTTGTAAAAAAGTGACACAAAACTCAAAAAAAGTGACAAAATTCAAAAAAAGTGACACACTCAGAAAGTGATACATAACTCAAAAAGGTAACAAATATTTAAAAAAGTGACAAAACACCAATTAAAATTTATGTTTGTTATTCAAAAAAGTGATATAAATTTCTAAAAAGTAACAAACAATAAAAAGTGAAATTTTTTTTAGAAAAGTGGCAAAAAAAGTGACAAACGCTCAAAAAAGTTACAAACACACAAAAAAATGATAAAATTATCACTTTTTTTAAAAAAAAAGTGACACAATGTCACTTTTAAAAGTTTAGTGTCATTTTTTACAATCTCACTTTTATTGAAAAGTGATGTTTGTTACTTAAAAAGTTATTAAAATTTTAAGAAAACGACTGAAAAAAGTGACAAATACTAAAAAAAAGTGACATAAATTTTTAAAAAGTGACGAATTTAAAAAAATAACACATTCAAAAAAAAGTGACAATTCTTATTGTGACATTGTGCATCATATTTCGCCTTGGATTTTGTCAGAAAAATATCAAAAGTTAGGATTGCTTTATCTTTCTGTTTGTGATAAGGTTCCAGCTGCAGTTGATGAACAATATCAGAACTAGGAAATAAGTGCGAAAGAACATTGCTGTCGTGAGAATCAACTCTTTACTATAAGAAAGACTATCCATGGTTTTCCAAAATTTTACAAGAATTTCTTCTTGAAAAATTTGAAATAAAATATATCAGCAAAAATTATGTTCAACTTAAAACATATGCTCATTTGAGAATAGTTTGTGAATTGGGCGACATTTGACAGTATGTTCAATTTAAAGAACAATTTTACGATGTGATTATGTCTTTGTTAAGTTTCAAAGAAAAGAGCCCCAAAAGTGCCAAAAATGACGAGGGTGACCTACATATAGACGTCTATTTAAAAATGTTAAACTGAGTTTCAAGTTACAGGAAGGACAAGCAAGGAACGATAAAACAACTTCTTATAAATTTCAAGAAAGTGATAGAAAAAAAGTGACATACATTAAAAAAAAATGACAAATATTCAAAAAAGTAACAAACATTAAAAAAGTGACAAACATTAAAAAGGTGACAAATTGTTAGCAAGCAACCGATCCACCATATCTATTTGATTTGTTTCAAAATAACCAAAAACCTTGAGTTTGTTAGCATTTACTAGACAAGAAAACCAACCAAATTGGTATGTTTCTTACTGCATAGCTTACAATTTTTCTTATTACATGATCAATCATGAACAGAACACCACACTTTCCTTCACCAATCATAATTTCATAGCTCGCTCTATGCTGCCACACTTTGCATACATGTCAATCAAGCAACACCATTTTTTCCACTAGCTGCAATCCCCATGGTCTTCCATATAATGATGAATTGTTACCCTTTCGTTAATGCAGCTTAATTGCACAATTGCAGAAAGAGCAGCCAACAAAGTCAACACTATCGAGAGCCAAATCAAAACCACCCCAATTTAACATATCATTGAAGACTTTCAGAGCTTCCTTACAACATCCACTTTTGGCATACCCAATCATCATTGCATTGCAGGATCTAGCAACATCAACTCTGCCCATTTTGCGTACCCATCAACCATAGGAGCCCAGCTCACCGCATCCCTTTCTGGCATTTTATCAAACAGAAGACTAGCCATTTCCAACTTCCCATTCTTTACAAAAAATCAATTATCAAATTCCAAGAAATCAAGTCCCTCTCTGGCATTTTCTCAAACAAATCAGAAGCAAATGTCGAAAACCATACTCCAACTACTCATAGCCACTGATCAGAGTATTCCAAGTGATTAAAATTTTCATCTCTAACGGCATCAAGTCAAAAAATTCCGAAGCTGAACTCACCATTCCACATTTCCCATACCCATTAATCATCGAGTTATACATAAAAGAATCCTTCTGGTGCAACCTATCAAACACCTATAAATTGAATGGCAATAAGACTGGAAAGATTCTTAGAACATTCACAACAATTAAATCGAATGCGAAATCAACATATGAAGCCCGTTTTTACACATATAAATCTGATTTTACCTTTCAAGTTTGGTAATCAAGAAGATGACTTATTCTTGTAGAAATCAATGCAACATAAGATAAAATTGGTGTCAATAGACCCCTGATCCCTCTTCTTCACGGTAAATTGTATGCCATTTTTACTGCAATTCCAAGGAAAAACCCATTTAGTTCAAGGAGTTAGATGTTTTTATATCCACGCCCTAGTGTGTTGCTTCCACCAATTTCTCTTCAATGTTCTTCTTGACTCCAGTGAAAAACTTGTACCCTCCCAAGATAAGCAAACCCCAGCCAGATAAAGAGACAATCACGAAGTGCTCCTCCTTCCACTTGGATGGACTTATCGGGTCTTTCCAGCAATCAACCTTAGCTGGCCCATGGTGATCAGCGGCGCCAGCGAGGCCACGGTAGAGAACCAGATAGGCAAATCTAGCGGCTGAGCCGGGAGATGATAGCCGAGCGAAGGTTGCAGCTCGGCACGCCATCATTGCAGCCAATGAAGTAGCCATGGCTCTGTGTTTTCTTTCCAAGAGTGAATGGTGTACGAGTGCGTCAGTTGAGGAGAGGGATTGATTAAGATTGGATTTTAGGTTTAGGACGTATTAATTACGGGTTGAATGGTTTAATTAGTTTTAAAAGGGTATTATTCAATTTAGTTAGTTTAATAGGGCATTTGGCCTAATTTTCCCTTTTATTTATAGTGCATGGCAGGGTTGTCCATAGGGCCTCGGTTTAAGAGGGCCGAGCTGGCCCGATTCGAACTAGTGGAAATTACACCCAATCATATCTTCAAAGATTTAATTTCAAAAATCAGATCCAAAGTTTATTTATACAAAAATTGGATATTAATTCAAATCATAATTAAAAATTTTAATACTAATAATAATATTAAATATAATTAATCTACTACAACCACAACCACCCCCCACCAAACAAACCCTAATTCATTTTCACAAATCTTACTTACCCTCTTCATTTCCTACAATCTCTTCGACGATTCTACACGGCGCAGTCACCGCAGCTGCATGCCAAAGTTGTGCCATGCAACCACCGCCTCTGCTCTCTCTCTCTCTCTATCCCCCCCTCCTTTTCTTCCTCTCATCCCATTCTCCATCCTCTCTCCAGCGACAGAACCACGCTCAATGGACTGTAACCGAGAAGCGCGATTGTGACGGCACTGATTCGTCATCGTAGAATGCTTCCACTGCTTGTCCCTCCGCTAGAATCTGCTATTTAAATCAGATCTTGTGAAACCATACATAGAATATTTGATAGTCCATTCTGTACCCTTAAAAGAAACCTAATCCTCGTTTATGAATTATACATTGCCTAACCAAACTAAATTAAGCCTACGGATAATGAATTTTTAATAAATATTTTATAGGATTCATAACTTTTTAAATACGCATTTTATCAATCAAAATTTACTAAAAATTTAATTTTAATTCATATCAAATAGGGGTTAAATTCTTTAGACCTTGACGGAATTGTCGTAAATGAAATTGAGCACAATTTTGTAAAGAAATATTCCAATGTTTTTCAAGAAGGGGTTGGAAAACATGTTCGGTATATAATTCGTTGACAGCCTCTTGTTTGAAGAAACCTCCATTTAATTTTTATCAAAGATTTCAAGTAAGATTCCAAATAATGATCTCGAATTCAAATTGATTTTATTTAACCTCTTTATTAGAGATTGACAATCTACAATTATCAATTATAATCCTTGCAGAATAGATCATTCATCAATAAAAATGTTTACTTTTAATTATGTTTAATTGTGTGTAAATAATTTATGTTCAACAAAGAAAAAATACAAGTGAGTAAATAAGTGTGTTCTAACAAAATAGCTTTTTTTATTGATAGACAAAATTAACTTTTACAAATTTGTACCAAACATGTGTTAAGTAACTTTTTTACTTAAAAATAATTTATCTACACTCAGTGTTAAAAAAAAAAATTTTATTTAAAATAAATTTTAAACTTAGCCAACTATCTTGACCAAATACCACGTTTGCTATAAATGAACGAACATAACTCTACAAGCTTTTTGCTTTTGTAATCATATCATATAGTATCCAATCTAGTGGATGGTATCAATATTGAAATAAAGCATTAAAACAAAATATTAAAAAATTTCCTCTTTATTTATAGTTAGGTCCTGTTTGGGAGGGATTTAGAGTGTGTTTGGTAGAGATTTTTGAAGGAAGAATTGATTTTTGAATAGTGATTTGATGGGAAATGTGTGGTTGGAAAAAAAGAAAAAAGTATTGATGTGATGGAAAATATTATTTTATTGAAAAATGTGTGGATGAAAATGAGAATTGATTTACTGTAGAAAAGGAGAATCTGTACCAAACAGGCCCTTAGATTTTTCTACAGTAAATCAATTCTCATTTTCAACCACACATTTTTCAATAAAATAATATTTTTCATCACATCAATAATTTTTTCTTGTTTTTCAACCACACATTTCCCCTCATATCACTATTCAAAATCAATTCTTCCCCCAAAAATCTCTCCCAAACAAGCTCTTAGTCGAATCTAGTCTGGTAAATTATTTTGAAAACTATAAGAATGCATTGAAATTAAAGATAGTGTTTACTACTACTTACCTCAAATCGCCATTCAATGCTATGCAGCCTAACGTAGCAACTCATTGTTTGAGTCCCATTTTTCAAAATTTGGATTTTTTTTTTTAAACTCATTTTCAATTACATATTCTTTCAATCTAATAATTTTGCACGTAAACTAAATTTTTTTCCATGTTTATTCGACACACATTCTAAAAAATTATTTTATTTTGAGACTAATTAATTAGATATTTTGTGATCACAAAATAAGTTGTAACTTATAAAATTTGTGATTTGTGACCAATGAATAATATTTATCTATTAATTTGATAAATTTGTGATCGATAGATAAATTACGACCTATAATTTTTTTGATCTATTATCGTGAAGTAATTTTTAGCTTTAATATTTTTTATTATAATCGAAAAATAATTTGTGACCAATTATAATTTATAATCAAATTGTATAAAATTATGACCTTAATATATTTAATTAATAAAATACATGTTTAATTAATCAGTTTATAAATAAAATTTACAAAATCTGATTTTTTGAAAATTTAAACCTAATTTTTCCTTCAAAGTTCAAACTATTCATATTTTTCGACTTTATCAATCATCGACAAATCACTGTTCTCTTCTTCAATCAATTTCAAACGAACGCTCCTCTTCATTCAGATTATTTTGTTTCTCATCTCTGTCAGATCGAATATCCTATCCTATTTGATAAACAACACTGATTTGTTCAGATTAATTAGTGTGGGTTTTGGAATGGAGAACACAAATTTGAAAGCTAACACCAATAACACTTGCGAACAAGAAGATCTTACACAGAACCCTAGGACGGGGATCAATGATAATAACAATAATACCTCGTCAGATGACGTCTTAATAAATAGCAATGGTGATGCTGAGAACAATCGGCGTCAGAGAACTCCATTTACGGACCTCAGTCAGGTCGATGCTGATCTCGCCCTTGCCCGCACCCTCCAAGAACAGGTTTTTTTTTTCCCCTTTTTTTGTTCTTTTTGATTTCTTGATGAGGGTTTCTTGATAAAAAAAATTTTAAAAATGTTTTTATTTGTACAATAAGCGCTGGCAGTTGTTGTTATTGGTCCCAAAGTGTGACACCCAATAATCAAAAGCTTCTCCTAGAGTAGATTTATTATTATTATTTTTTTTCCGGTAACTATCTGATTATATCCCCCGTGAATGGCATGCCTTGTGGCTTTTTAATTTCTTGAGTGTTTCTTTCTTTTTTGCATACAAAATTGTAGACCTTACTTATGTCTAATACTTGCAAGCAAAAAACACTTTGCTTTCACAAAATTGTGTTTTATTTTAACTATTAAAAAAAATAATAAAAAAAATTAGGGGTTTTTTGGTAGCTAAATAAACATTTTGAACAGATGGATTAAAAAGAACCGAGTTCAGGAGTAAGCCTTAGTAGTTGTTTTCGGTACAAAAAATGTACCCATAAAACAACAGCTATCTAGGTGTAGAGTTTTTGTAGCTCAACTTGAATCAGAGTTGATGACAAGGGAACATATTTTTGTATTGTTCTTGTGCTATTTAAGACGGATTTACCATTGCTTTATTGTGTTATTCATAAATCAGTTGACAAGATTTTGAAATTTGGTTGTTGCATTAAGATAATTTAGGATGCTTTTTGAAATTCAGTTTGTTTAGGTCCATAATTCTATGATGTTAGATGCTAAGAAGCACGGATTCGAATTTGTAATTCGAATACGATATGTTAAGAGTACACCGATGCAACTTTAAGCAAGTCAACACCTTCAAGAGTATCAATTAAGTTTTTGACAATGTCACACATTTTGGATTCTCATTTTGAATAGAGATTTGATTTTCTTGATAAAAAGACGCGGATAGAATGAAAATAAATTTATTAAATACATAGTGAAGTTTGATTAATTAATGTATAATTTATTAACACGGTATCTATTTTCAATAATAAAAATATATTTGTCAGCTATGAACACAGTTTTACATGTATTAAAAGATTTAATACTACTGTGTATTTACAATAAAAAACTCTAGTTGTCAATTAATTTAAAACTCTAGGTGAATTTTCAATAAATATTATCTATTGATAACAATAGTAATCTATGAAGTAAAAAAGTTTGTCAATAATAATGAAATTTAAAAGAGTTTAAAATCAATAAATTCTTCTTCACGCATCCTAACATATGTGATACGTATCCCTTAACATATATGATGTGTATGAAAAATAATTAAAAAATACGTATTCGATACATATTGAAAATTGAAAAAATATGAAATAATAAAAGATGCATATTCAGTATGTATCGGATAACGGTACATAATGAGTTAAAAAGTATTCGTGCTTCTTAGGTTAGTTATAGTGTTGTGGTTCAACTAAGAAGCACATATACGGATACGTAATTCAAATACAATACGATACAGATTCGTCAATACGACTTTTTAAAAAAATTAGAATACGTGGATACGTGTTGTAAAATTCAACATAATTTCATTAATATAAAAAATATTAAAACGTGATCATAATAATAAAAATAAAATAAAATACTAAAGCATTTTATCTTAATGCTTGTTTGGTCCCTATTATTTTTGAAATACATTTTTCTCTCTTATTTTCAACCATACATTCTTCGATAAAATGATATTACACGCAAATCCAAAACTTTTCTTAATTTTTTAACTACACATTATCCATCAAAATACTATTTCAAAATGCATTTTGGGCAAAAAAAAAGGACTCAAACAGGCTCTTAATCCTTAATTGTCCAAACTTCATTTTATTCAAAATCATCAACATCAGCTTCTTTGTCATCATTAAAAATAACTCTCCAACTCTAGCTCATCCAATAATAGATTAGCAACCTCGAGTAGTCCAACACAAGTATCAAAGGAGTTTCTGACAATGTGCCATATTTTGGATTCTCCTTTTGAATAGAGATCTAATTTTCTTGATAAAAGACACAGATGGCTATAAATGAAAATCATTTTTTCAGCTTACTGTGAAGTTATTTTGTTCCTTCTCATAGAGTGCATAAAAGAATGCATACTACAATTTCTCTCAGCATAAAATGAAGAAGGTTACACAAGAAGTTCAAGGCAATGCTTAGAAGTAAAGATGTAAGTGGACCATGAGTAGTCACCAAGTCTTTCTATCCATATTATGCGGATTAATGATTGAATCAAACTCATCAATAATACTCTTCTTCACATGTTCTAACAATCAGATACGTATTGAAAATAATTAAAAAATACGTACTCGATACGTATTGAAAATAATTTTTTTATGAATATATAAAATAATTAAAAAAACATGTATCCGATACATATCGGAGAGTATCCAAGCTCGGATACGTATCGGATGCGGGTACGTAGTGAGTTATGATGCTCGAACTCAGGTACGGGTATCAAGTAGGTTACTATCAAGTGTCAGATTTCTCATTTTCTAAAATATAGGATACATGTACATGGCTAAAGAATCCAAATTTCGAATACGGGTATGTGGATACATCTTTCAAACTTCAATTTTTTCCAAAAAATTCACATGTAAAAAGTTAAATAATATTAAATGGCGAATTGTTAAAGGATAGAACAGGTCACTTAAATCGGTCCAACCTAACAGTCCAATTACCAACAAAAAGAAGCCCATCTTAATACCAGCTAGCCTACTTTCTCAACCACCATAAGCTCACATATTAATACACTTCAGCCTAGCACAAATTGCCCAACAAAAAAAGTCCACTTTCGTCTACTCACTGTTCACCTCTCCAACCTTAAACTACAAAACTCGTCGCCAAACCCCAAATACCACCCACCCTCGCTAGCAACCTTCACCTCTACCTCTATCACCACCTTCGTCTTCTCCAATAACCTATTGCCGTCGATGAACCATAACCCTCATCACCCCTTCCGAACACCACACAACTCATCAATATCAAGCGTCACACCGCAACAACCACCACAAACAAATGCTGATAACCACCCTGAACAACCATCCATCATGAACCCGTACAGTCTGTCACCATCATTTGCAATTTCATGTCATAAAATCAAAACACCGGCAAATCACCAATTGCCGCTTCCATGCTCCTCCACCACAATCACCTTGGTTGTCGTGTCGACTTGAAAATTGAAGAATCAACCCTGTATTTCATACCAGTACCCATGTTGTGTCATGTCGACACGAGTATGTCGACTGAAATGCCAAGTCTGAGAATCACATGTAATAAGTTTACAAGTATCTGTGCATGGTAATATGAATGAAATGCACACGGGTTAGCTCTCATTATTATGTGCGAATGATTTTACGTATCTTTATTAGGAGCCTTTATAACTTTTGTTCTAAGTGGTTTCTTATGGTGTTTAGATGGATTTATGTCCCTCTTTTATCTTCTTATTCATAAATGAACTGGCATGATTTTTGAAATTAGTTACATTGAGATAGATTTAGCCCGATTGGTAGGGATTAAAATTAGATTTTTAGTAGATTTTGATAAAAGTTTATAACATGGGTGGTTGAAAAGTTGTGGGACCCATAAAATATGTGGTTGACATTGATTGTTTGACTTTGACTTAGATTTAGATTAGAATCTGATTTTTATCAATACTAAACAGGGCTTAGTTTGCTTTGTGAAATTTAGTTTGTTTAAATATCTGATTCTATCCTGTTAGATGTGTTGTTTCGGTTCAATTGTTCCACAATATGAATGAAATGCACACGATTTGGTAGACATAGCTGATAGCTACTATTATCACGTGAAAATGACTTTACCTATATGTATTCTGAGCCATCAAAACTCATATTCTAAGTGGTAACATTTTTTTATCAAGTATTTGTTGTTTTTATTGGTACCTTATATGCTTTTTGAACAGAATGATGAAAAGGGACCGACTTTGGTTAGAAGCCTTAGTAGTTGTTTTTTGTACCAAAATATGATCCAGTAATCAAGAGCTTCTTCAAGGTGTAGAGTTTTTGCACCTCAACTTAAGTTAATCAGGGCTTATGGCAAGTGAACTTAATTTTGTATTGTTCTTCTACTGTTTAAGACGGACTTATATCCAATGTTTTATCGTCTTACTCGTAAATCAATGGACACGATTTTTGTAATTGGGTTGCTTAGTCGAGATAGATTTAGAATGCTTTTGAAATCCAGTTTGTTTAAATACATGATTCTATGCTGTTAGACTTAGATGTACCGTTCCCATATAATATTACCATAAATTCGAATGAAATGCAGTTTGGTATACAGGAAAATGACTTTAAATATTTGTATTCTGATTCATTATGAACTTCTATCTTAAGCAAGAGCTTTTCTATCAGTTATTTCTTTTCCTGAAAATTAATTGGCTCTGTTTTCTGTGCAATAGGAAAGGGCATACATGATGCTGAGAATGCACAGCGGCAGTGATTATGGAAGTTGGGACGCTGGTAGTTATGGGCATGATGAAGACGACGACGACGACGATGATGATGCCGACAATTTTGATGATGCCAGTGAAAAGGATTATAATGGTACTCATCTAGAGGTGGATGTTGATGCAGAAGATGCATTTGATGTGCATGCTCATGCTGAAGGATGTGAGGATGAGAACCAAGCTGTTGAACTTGACCCTCTGGCTTTTTCAAGTGATGAGGCCTATGCTAGGGCCTTACAAGATGCTGAAGAACGGGAAATGGCAGCTAGGTTGTTAGCTCTAGCTGGATTTAATGAAAGTGAGTTTCGAAATTGACCACTTTGTCCTAGTTCTTGTTTTCTTAGTTTTCCCTTAATCGATCCGTGAGAACTATTCGATGATTGACAAAGTTCTAATGATTATTTAGTGATAGTTGGGGATGCCGAGGATGAATACGAGGATCATGATGATAATTCTCAGGTCTGATTTCATTTAATTCTGGATATGTCATTTTTAAGTCTTTTCTAGGTATGGCCGTATTATGAGATTCTAAATCTTTTGCTGGATGAGAAAAAATAGTTTCCTTTGGTTAGTTGATTGTTGAAAATTAAATTGCTGTAGAAAGCTTGGAATGGTCTATTGCTTTTAGTTCAACCAACAAATATATAAACTATTGATCTTGAAGTCACCGATGGTTTAAATTTTTTGCACTACTTTTTTTGTCCCATTTTTCAGTTAGAAGCATAATCTTATTGACCTCGATATAAAGATACATACATCAAGAGAGCAAAGATTCTCTTAATAAAGAAGAAAAACAAGTCCAAAAATAAAAAATTAAAGATAACATTTTTCAAACAAGAACAATGGAAAGTCTTAAACTCCTTAGATGTGGAAGCCCATATAGAAATCAAAAACTTTGTGCTATCTCATGAATGTCCAAAGAATGGTTTCTTTTCTTTAAACAGTTATGGAGTCCCTTTATTACCCAAAAAATAGATAAAAAAACGTAGATTTCCATGTAACATCAACCAACTTTCATGACTTGGAAATTATCAAATCAGCCTAGATTCTAGGACTTAATTAAATGCAACAATATGTAGTTTCACAAAAAGTTTTCATCGCATGCCTAGTGTTGCGACATACAAAATGTGACTTCAGTGACTTCTCATGCAAATTCCTCAAGAATGAATTACTATTTGGGTTCAGGTTGACCCCATGGGTGGCCAAACCTACTCCCAACATAAAAAAGCTCCAAATATTTTCCTTAATTCCAATTTTAAAGATGCTCACTATGAACATGCCATAAAGTCCTCTTAACTGCAAAGGAAGGATATGATATGAACACGTCCTATTACAGATTGGTTAGATGAAGGTATATATGTTGACATGCAATTTTTTTCCCCTTATTAGTGAACCCCTTCTCTTCGTTTTAGTTAGCTCTTCCTTTCTAATGGAAAAAGGAGAGAGATTGCTATACACCATATTACCTTGATACCATGAATAATTTTATTATATTGTGGGTGGTGGATTTTCATCCAACCTTTCCCATTCAAAATGGTGAAGTTTGTAAATTTTGATTAGAAAGAATCGGATTGAGCCTCCCACTTGGCTTTACCTCTCCCTTCCCTTCCAACCAAACAACGGAGTGAGTTGCCTTCCCCTCTTCCAATCCTTCCCCTTCTACAATCTTTCACCTTGGTATTAATAGTTGACCATGCAACTTAGCAATGAGCTTTTTTGGTACGACTATTACAAATTGTTTCTTGAATTTTTGTGTTGCAAGTTAAGGCTGACATATTACATTTGTTGGAGATTCTTGTTTCTGCTTTAACCATGAAACAAGTAATTTTGTATTTGCAGTTTGTTGATAGTATTGCATGTAGTCCTGCACTCCCTTTCCAGTACATCCTTACACTATCCTTGATGATCTCTTAATGATTTGGATTTTAGATTTTATTGGTTGAATTCTGAAGCATCTCTTACTGAATCTTTTAGGATGCATGGGAGGAAGTTGATCCAGAGGAACTATCATATGAGGTAAATTTTGCAGTGGCATAATGTCTTCTTTTGTTTGGGGCATATCTTATGTTGAGTTCATTGGTTGACTTGGTGTTTCAGGAATTACTTGCCCTGGGTGAAGTTGTTGGGACAGAGAGCAGGGGTCTACCTGCTGAAACAATTGCCTCTCTGCCTTCAGTCAATTATAAATCACAAAGCATTCAGGACGGAAACAATGATTCGTTAGTAGACATTGCCTAGTTTTTATGATTGTTATGATATTATGTTATGACAATATCATTTTTGTTTTTTTACCCCCTTGACCCCATACGAATGTCCAATTGCTGACAACGTTTTACCCTTCTGCCTCAGCTGTGTTATATGTAGGTTGGAATACGAGGAGGGTGACACCTTGACTGTGCTTTCCTGCAAACATTCTTACCATCCTGAGTGTATAAATAATTGGTTAAGAATAAACAAGGTATGTTTTATGTTTTCTTTAATTCTAAGATTCAAAAGCACAGAAGCACATGATTTACTTCAGGGGATATACGTGAAAAATCCGTTGCGGTTTATCTGCCAACTAAACAATTTCCATCAGTTAGTTTAGGCGATGATAGGTGACGGAATTGTAATATTTGAAACTAAAATGAGGTTTAATGATCCAATCGAAACAAATTAAAGTTCTGTGACGTAATTTGAGATTTCCCTGAAAGTTTAGTTACTGTAGATGAAATTGAAACATTTTGTTCTTGTACGCGATAGAGTTGATGGATGTATAAATTCTTTATTGGTAGGTTTGTCCGGTATGCAGTGCTGAAGTCGTCTCCTCTTCGGTAAACAGCTAGCAGATTTCATGGCTGGCCTATTAAGAAGGTGCTTGAGATGAGCTGATAATGGATTACTAATATTATTTGATGACTGTATTATCAAATTTGTATCCATTTTTGCTTTTCTTAAATATGATTGCCCACATTTTATTTTGATCTGCTTTTATAATTTATTCCTCTATATTTCTTGCTTATAATTATTCAAGTACAGTGATAATGAATGTGCCCTTACATTAAAAGCCCAAAAATTAAAATCACGTGTGAAAGTGATGGTCGCACAAGGGTGAAAATTGCTTATGATGATTGAAAAGGCGACCACGAGGCTCAACGTTATCAAAAGTCGTCAAAAAATTAAAAATGATGTTACTAACTCGATTGTCATTTATTATGAGAACTATGCAATATTGTGGAACATGATGGACGCAAGCAAAAATGAACCAACTTTGAGGACTTTATTCTTTGAAAAGTAGTAATACGACTTGTGAATTTTATGAACCTTATGGTGAAAACAATAGACTTCATTGTCTTGGTCTGTTCTAAGATATGAGCGTCCATCTAAGGTTAAAAGGGTCTCCAATATAGAGAAGTCTGCATCTAACAAGAAAAAGTGAGAAAATTTGAGGTTCGCGAGAGTGCATTTATCTTCTATTTTATTTAAAAATAAAATTTACTTGGGCCGTACTATATTATTTTTATTTAGTTTTAGTCTTGGGCAACAGGATAGGATGTTTTCATGCCCCAGTGTGGGTGGGGTTGGCACGCAAGAAAGTTCAAATATCGAGATAGTTTTAGTACTTTTTGATGAGTCTTATATTATTTTGATTGATGATAGTTTTTATGATAAATTTAGACGTAAATTCTTGTTGATACTAAAGATGACATTCTACCTCACATGTCAAATTCTGGACCGTGATGTGAAAGAACGTTGTAAAAATCATTGGTTATGGTGGATATCATGTGGAAGGATGTCAAACTTAATTTAAAAGTTAACGTACATGTAATACGTTTCTAGTTTTATGTTACTTGTTAAAATTTTTTGACTTTATGAGCAGGAAACACACAAGAATTTGGATAAAGTTGCTTTACGAGAAGGATTTGACAGAAGGTTTGATATAGTTGCACGTGACAGTAGATGATTGAATGAAAAAGCTAACTGTATTTTACACTGTCCAATTATATAACGCCACTTCGCATTATATCAACCTTGACCTTCATATCAATGAAGTTGTGAGATTCCAGCAAAACGTGCACCTTATATTTGAAGCCTCTAGTTTTACCTAATCCTGTATTCAATGCTCAAGGTAAGCACAAGTAACTTGTGTGCCATCATTTGATTAGGGGTAGATGCGGGTCGGTTCGGTTCCAAAAATTTTCGGGTATTTAGTAAATGGAACCGTCGGTTCCAAATATAATTTTGGAACCGTTCGAGTTCGGTTCGATTCCGTACTATAATTAAATTTTTTAGCATTTAGAATAATACTACATAAAAACCCCTGAAAATAGATACTAATATTAATAACAAAAA